TTCTCTCCCTCCCTCCTTGACTATGAATATATTCCTTATGACACTGCCTTCTTTTCCATGCCCTTTCCTAATGTGGAAGGGCTGGCTGGCAAAATTCCACACAGTAAGCAAGATTCACTGCTATCTACTAGATTCAAACTATCTCCTTGGAAGGGGAAAAGAAGCCTGTGGCTAAAAATGCCAAGTTTGGAATCCTAAAGTTCTACAAGAGAAACTGTAAGGAATGTTGTTCCCTTGACTGGGGAATAGTTGGATGACAAATATCTTTTTTTCCCAGCTTTTTAATTTCAAAGTCAAAGGAAACAGATACTAAAAGGAATGGAAGAAGCACTATTTTTAGAGAACAGTGAAGATTAGTTATTTTAGTGGTTTGATAAATGTAAGCATCTGATTGATTCTTTTTACTGTAATGATATTTCCTCTTTAGCATCATTACATTAAAAAGAATCAATCAGATGCTTACATTTTCATGGGCTTAAGCCCTTAGTCACTGGAAAAAGGTCAAAACACCCCAGATCTCTGAGTTAATGATAACAAGCCTGCATTTGTTTAGTAATAGTCACAGACTGCTTACAACAAGTGCAATGCAAATGGAGATGCTTTAGTCCCAACATGGGCTGTTGACACTACACTCACTTATGTTGAGTGTTGCAAGGTCAGGCATATTTTATGCCCTACAAATAAATGAATCAAGGCTAATCAATGTACATACATGTATGTATTTTGTGTATATGCATATGTGTATGTGTGTTATTTTTGAAAATGAGAAGGTATTTTCATCCATTAGGGTTTAAGTCTCTCAAACCATAATTTTACATTGTAGATGATTGGTTAAAATCATGGTGCTGGAGTTGAATTACCTGGGTGAAACCCATTTATTAGCTCTGTGACTTTGGGCAAGTTATGGAACCATTTTATGTAATAGAACCTCATATTCAAGCAATAATTGCACCTGTCCCATGGAGTGGCTGTGGGGACGAAATGAATTAAAACATGGCATCATATAAGGTACAAAATATTAATTTTTATTATAATTACTAATATGTGCAAGGCCTTGTGCTATGTTCTCTGAGGGATAAAAATAAAAAGAGACTGTCCCTATCCTTCTATAGTTAACAATCTAATTGGGAACCCAAATTCTGTGGTTTGTATCTTCCCACTCACCTACCCCCCATTCATATGTTGAGATTTGAGATTTGATCATGACCGGATTAAAAGTGTTTAAAAACTTTGAATGATACTATGGTGTTGAAAGGTGGGTCCTTTGGGAAGAGGTTGGGATTAAGGTCATTAGGGTAAGGCCCCTGTGATTGACACCTAGAGGATTTATAACAATAGGGGATGAGGTAGACAGACACAAATGGATACAGCCACTCTGCTCTGCTCTTACTCTCACAACGTGTTGCCTCAGGACCCCCGAGATGTGGCCATTGAACCTTAGATCTTCAAACCATGAGCCAAAGAGAATAGCAGTGGGCTGGACTTGGGTTAGCCACAGATTGGCAACTGCTGTTCTGAATGAACCCTAGTGTCATTTTTTTTAAGAGTTATGTATTTAATTGTATCTATTAGTAGTGGTAGTATTTAATTTGCTATAGAGCATGTGTAATCACCAGAGAGAAACAGAGAACAAAAGAGGGAAAGTGAGAAAGCAAGCTGCCAGGTCCAGGACTCAAAGCACCGTCAGCCATGTGGGAGTCCAGCACCTTAATCACCACATCATCTGCTGACTCAAGACCTCTATTTTTGTAAATCACCTAGTTTCAGGTATTTTTCTGTTTAGCAACATAACAGCCTAGAACACCAAGCTATATTTATATTCTCATATAAAGTTAAATATTAATTCCTGAGAAGAAAATCTACAGTTTAGTTCAGGAGCACAGACTAGCCTCTTAATACAAAGCCAGAGGAGCTGGGTGACCTAGACCAGAGGAGTATCTTTATATCAAGTATTAGTCTCATATTTGTTCCCTTTGCCCTGATTCTTATCGCTTCAGCATGATGAAAAAAGGCTCAAGGCAGATTATATAATAAACACCGTGTGCAGTGGCCCAGCCCATGTTAATCTGCAGTGGCTTAACCATGGCAAGCACTAAATGACGCAGGCGCTGATGCTGGATTAAGGCTCTTGACAGCAGAGATGGGTTCAGCCATGAGTACCCTAAGAAGTGGGCCAACCCTTCAGTGTTTGTTATTTATAGAGGGACGGTGACTGCTTCAGCTGATGTTTTGATTTTTCTGAGTTTTACAGGAAGTTCCAGACTGTGATTATATAGCTTAAGTGGTAAATCTGTACAAGAACTGGTGCAAAACAGTGTGTGTCTAATAATCGTCAAGGAGATGAAGGACAAGGATGCTGACTATGATCTGGAGTGATCATGAAAGGCCTTAGGAAGAGTTATTTTTTTCTTTTCTTTTTTTTTTGGAGAGGTTTTTGCCATAGGGCGCATGCGCTCGCCAGACAGACAGAGAGAGACATAGAGACAGAAAGCTAGAAATCACCCCCCAGGGGGGATGGCCACGCCATAATCCCTTCTCCTCTCAGGATCTTGGGCACGCACGTACACGCGCCCGGTGTGAGTTTTAAGCCACCAGGTCCGGGACACGAACCATGTCGACTACATGGAGGTCCAGCAACATAGCCATTACACTAACTGCTGGTCCCAGGAAGAGTTATTATGAAAGAGACTTGAACAAGAATTTTAGGTGATCCTCACACTGATTCTTTTAAGTCAAATATTAATTCCCTCGGCTTAATTTTCTATTAATTTGTCGATCTAGATTTTCACCTACAAATTGTCCCTCCATATCAAAAGATATTTTTTACAATAAATTATCCAAAATTGTAAATTTAATAGGTTTTCATGGGCTGATGTGAGCATATAGCCTCCATCTATAGCATTGCTCTGTGGGGGGCGGAAATGGATATTCTGAATTTCAGACAATTGATTTGCAAATCCATTTTTCAAAACTCTGTTTCAATTCTTTCATTTAATTATTTAATTATTTATTGAGTGTTTTGGATGTTTCAGACACTTATTGTAGACACTGAGGATACATCAGTGAACAAAACAAACTCCCTTGCCTTCATGGAGAGAACATTCTAGAGAGAAGATACAGTTAAACAAAAAACAATAAATAATTGGCATAGTGTATTTGTTGGGTAGTGAAAAGTACTGAAGAATAAAGAAAACAATTGAGTAGGGTAAAAGGATGGGGTGGGTGGCAATTTTAAATAGGATGGTGAAATTTAAGCAAATTATAAAGGAAGCTGGTCAAGATTAATGATAATATCTGGGAGAAGAACATTTAAAGCAGATGGAAGAGCCAGTGCAGAGGCCCTGAGGCAGGAGCTTTGAGAAAGTTAGAGGTCACTTGTACTGAGCAGATTTATAGTATGGCCTGCCCATATCAAAACTATTCCTCCTTTATCCTATCTCTTATATTTAAAGTTTAATGTGTATCAGAATCACCTGAGATCTTGTTAAATACAGATTCTGATTTAGTAAGTCTAGGGCTTTTGGACTTAATGCTCCATTAGCTGGTTGCAAACCCCCTCCCTCCCTCCCTGAACCCGAAAGAACCATCTCAAAAGGTTTTTGTTCACACTTCTTTTTCTTAGTTTGCTAGAGAGTATGTGTGCTTGTCAGGTAGAGTATGTGTGGGGAGGGGAGAGGTGGGCAGGGAGTGAGAAGCACCCTCCACACACAGGGATGACCATTCCACATTTCATTCTCTTCTGTTCTCCTCTTGGGAGTTTGGGCATGCAGGCACATGTGCCTGGTGTGTTTTTCAAGCCATGGGGTCTGGGACTGACACCATGTAGTCAGATCCATGGGATCCAGCTGCATTAACCACCATGCCATTGGCTAGCTCTACACTTTCATATTAGCCATGGAGTCCTCAGAGTTCATGGTTCTATCAGGTGGTTAGTAAGAGCATGGTCCAGGGCTGTACCCTGGGAACACAAGGCAGATTGTATGCTTCCACGCAGGATATAAAAACTTTCAAGGGCTTACTAACTGCCACTATGTGGGCTCTGCTTTTGAACCTCAACCTGGGAACACTGCTCTGCTCCTTGAATGATAATGTCACTCTGACTACATTAGTGTCTTATTTTAATTACACGAGTTCTGACTTGCGGCCTTTGTTCCTGATCCTATACCCTGAGCGGTAGCACAGGTCTGCACACTAGGCCTGAGGTAGCTGGAGCACTCAGTGGTGTTCCCAAGAAGTGGTCTACTGATGCCTATTTGTTATCAGGTAAGGCTGGCCTTCCCAAGTGCCAGCACAGTAATTTACAGCTAAGCAGCTGGAAGAACTAGTCATCCATGGATATAAAGCATAGATTGTGCAGTCAGGTAGGCTTGGGTTTGAATTGTGCTTCCAATTCCTTACTGTAAAATCTTGAGAATGTTCCTCAGCTTCTATGAGCCTCAATTTTCTCATCTGAAAAATGGGGAAAATATTACCTCCCTCCTAAACTGAGATAATATGAAGCACTTAGTAATGTGTTTGGCACACATTATACTCACAGAATACTAGTTGTATTATTTACGTGATTTCTATTAACATCTTACCACGTATAAAGTTGCGTTGAGACCTGGCATTAGGAGTAACTACCTGTACATTCCCTGGAGTTCAAGGTGTTCAAAGATAAGACACACAGGCCTAAAGCAGTTTTGTCATCACAGAAACTAGTAAAAGAACTGAAGATGTTTAATTTAGAAAATAGCTGATGAGGGGGAATGGTCTGGATGGCTGTCTTCAGGATGTCTTGAATAAGAAAAATGTGTTATAGAAGTCCCGAGGGCACAACTGAGATGAACAGGAAGGGATGAAAAGACCCATATTAGATAAAACTTGCTAATAGTGACAGTGACTTTGGGTGAAATGGGGGTGGGGGTATCTGCGGGGGTCGATTCCTGCGCAGCTGCGGCGGAGCAGCAGATCAGGGGGCACAGCCCATCCTCGCGCGACCATACAGTCGTGCAGTCGTGACGTGTACCGTTGCCATGGAGAGGCGCGCTCCGTAGGGACAGCGAACTGGCGCCAGTGGCCGCAGGGACGCAGCGTGGCTTTGAAGCCGCGTACGGTACCACCATGAGCGGCCGAAGTAGAGGTCGAAAGTCTTCCCGCGCCAAAAGCCGGGGCAAAGGCCGAGCCAAGGCCCGGCCCCGCGGTACTCCTGACGACGCACCGCGCGACCCGGACAGTCCACAGTGCCAGAGGCTCGGGGAGGACGCCAAAGCGGCACAGGTGCAGGCTGGCGCGGGTTGGGGTGGCCTGGAAACCGCTGCGCCCGCGCTGCCCCTCGGGCCAGGGGAGGCGGGCGGCCG